TCTAATTTTGACAAGAAACAAACCCGAGAGTATGAGGAGAATAAAGTTATCTTAAGGGAACAAATGAATATGTTTATGATGGAATTCTCACAAGCATACGCATCAGCAGACGAACAGCAGCAAAAGACTTTCCATGTACTGATTTCATTGCTGATGTGGAACATGGTCGTGTAACTTGGCAAGAATTTCATGGCATTTTACTTCATTTCTGCAGTAGTGCAGCTTTATTTTCAGAATTTCAAGAAGAATTCTTCTTTGTGGGCTAGTGATTCAAAGTTAGGACTCTGGCACAATCAAAACAGTGAAAAATGTTGAAGTGTTTCTGAAAACGTTGACTCAAAATGCATGTCGATTTCAAAATTGTAGAACTCCTCTGTGTTCCATTGGCTGGATATGGGAGCACCAGCAGAGAAGCTACTCCTGGGTTTCCCTTCATATGGAAGAACCTACCGCCTTCGCACTGGTGCTACTGGCCTGGGAGCACCAACAAACGGACCAGCTGACGCCGGGCCATACACTCGCACGGCTGGTTTCTGGGCTTACTATGAGGTCAGATATTTTAGACCCCAAAATATGAATTTTGTCAAAAAGCCGAATGTTGGTTTGATAGTCTGTCATTTACTTTTGTTAGTAATAAAACTTGAACTTGTAAGATGTGCAGTCCAAAATGAAAAAAAAAAGTGAAGGTGTGGATGGAGGCCAATTGAACAAGGAGCTGATTTGGGATTTCACTTTTCTTTTGTCTCAGGTCTGCGACTTCATCTCCAGTGCTTCGGTTGGATGGATTGATGAACAGAGGGTTCCATATGCTACCTTTGGCAGTGCTTGGGTTGGCTATGATGACCAGCGCAGCTTTTCATCCAAGGTAACAAAAGCACCATTTTCTGGAAAGCCTTTCATGGTGAGGGTCATGGGCAAAGGGACTACTCGCAGGGCGACTGGTAATCGGGTATGGAGACATCACATCATGCAAGTGGCATCCTTCTTCGTAGGGCTGGATGATGATGGAAAAAAAAACCATGATTATATTCACGGTTATTCTGTGATTTCAAACTTTAGTGTTTATTCAACTACTAAAACTCAACTATTTAAGATATCATCAATGCCTCATGTCCATTCATCCCTGCATTTTGAACACTTTATTCTTGAAGACGATTTGTCAAGTACAAAATGGCCTTGTAAATACGATGTAAAATTCAACCCTCTTGCATATTCTTTCGGCCACATCCACACCCTTTCTGTCTTTTTACACACACTGAGGTCTTGAATAAGCATTACCCTGATCTCTTTATCATATTTATTTTCACAAGTCTTGGGACTTACGGGGTTAACCTGGAATCTTGGGGATAGTATCTTGTGCCTTGTCATGTGTAAATGTGTGTTGGTACGACAAAAAAAAAACTCCTTGGATCTTTGTCTTTGGCTGCCACCCAGCTCACACTGCACAGCTCTCCCTTAGAGATAGGGTGAGAAGCGGCTCAGAGTCGAGGCGCTTCTCCTCCACATCGAGAGGAGCCAGATGAGGTGGCTTGGGCATCTGATTCGGATGTCTCCTGAACGCCTCCCTGGTGAAGTGTTCCGGGCATGTCCCACTGGGAGGAGACCCCGAGGACGACCCAGGACACGCTGGAGAGACTATGTCACCCAGCTGGCCTGGGAACGCCTCGGGATCCCCCGGGGAGAGCTGGAAGAAGTGGCTAAGGAAAGGGAGGGACGGGGGTTCCCCTGCCAAAGCCGCTGCCCCCGCGACCCGGCCCCGGATAAGCGGTAGAAGATGGATGGATGGATGGATGGATGGATGGATGGATGGATGGATGAATCTTTGTATCCTTGAATTTTGGGGAAAGGAAAATTCCTTGAATGAAAATGTCACATTAAATAAAAAATAAATACATTTTAAAGGACAACAAAAAAGAAATTAGGAAGAAAGTAAATTAGAGTACTGTGTACCACAATAACAGCAATTTGAAAAAAAAAACAAACCCAAATACCGGCTGTTCATACGTCTTTTGGCCTCATAGGGGCAGCGTAGTGCCGGATGTGGATGGTTTAGTACACACTAGAATGAAAACAGAAGAAGTTGTAGTTAAATTGAACTGTATTCATCTAGCTCATTTTCCACCGATTTGGGAATTGGGATTATGCCTTAGAGTAGTGTAATTTTACCTATGCGCTTGTGTTTCCACAGGAATTGTGTGTGACTATTGGTTATTTGAAGATATATCACTCATGAATTCGATGCTAATTTCCCGTTAGCATGAATAATTTCGATTTAGATTTTGTGTAATTTTTTTTTTGTGTGTTCAGTTTTACAGCAAACCCCAACTAGGGTGTCATTAAACAGCTCAAAGCACGCTCATGGACGGTAGAATCACATACGCTATACCCTTTCCTATGCAAGCAATATGATGCATTCAGGGTACTTTCCGAATGTCGGAAACTTGTAATTGCACCGCTCCATTCTACACATTATTCGTTTTCCTTCGATTATGAAGTTTTAGAGATCGAAAGTCGAAATCATGATTTAAATTTTGATTAATCTTCCAGCCCAACTTCTTCGTATTCATTGTTGTACATAACAAGAGAAGCTGTCATTGTTGGAGCTGCGCCCACCTCTCGCTATGTGTGAAAATACAAGCTATTTGTCTCTCAGTCATATCAGTTTTTAATTACGCTCCTGTCAATCAGTAGGCCAGAAGCATGTCCAGTGATCTACTATGTAATTCCTTTGTGCAGAGACATTGCGTTTAGCTCTCAAACAGTCATTTTGAAATTAATCCGATTTTAGGTTGAGTGGATGACAGGCAGGAACCTGGGAGGTGCTCATGTGTGGACTCTTGACATGGATGACTTTGGTGGATCCTTCTGTTCAGCTGGCTCATATCCACTCATCAACCACCTCAGGATGTCAATGGGTGAATATTGTTTCCATATCAGTGTTCCAGGGCATGTGACAGCAGTCAAGTTGTCAACTGCAAAGACTGTTTTGGTAAAATTGAGTTATTTACAAAGCAATTTATATGTCTGACTCTGCAGGCTTCCCCCCTAAGCCTACCACCACCCCAGCTCCGACCACCACCAGGGACCCCATTGCCAGTTTCTGTCATGGTCGCCCTGATGGCCTGTACCCGAACCCAGTTGACAGCACCACCTACTTCCAGTGCTTCAGAGGAAACACCTACAAGCATCACTGCCAGCCTGGTCTCATTTACTGGGACTCCTGCAAGTGCTGCAATTGGCCTTGAAGCAGTATGGCTGAAATAAAAATATTTGGCAGAAAGTTTGCAATGTTATGTAAACATCTTGAACAAAACAGTAGCTAAATCTGTCATTGACTCATTAAACATTTGTTAATGTATCATTTCATATGACTTTCACATTTCATCAATTTCACATTTTGTCGACTCAAGAATGGAGTAGTAAACCATCTTTAAATGCATTCATTTCAGGGTTTTCAAGTTGCTGCCATGTTGAGATGAAAACTCCAAAAGGAATATTTGTTCATTTTAATATTGTTTTTTTTCCCCCTGGATGTAACGACTGAAAAAAAAAGGATTTGATTATTGCTGCTCTGCTTTTTTTTTTCCTCCTTGAAAGTGAACATTGAAGTCAGCCAAGGAAAATGTTTATCATTGAACTTGAAAATGTTGTTGAACATAGCCATTGAACTATGATTTAAACAGAAAATATGCCACATGCACTGGATTAAAGTTATTAGGACCTGATGGCACGTCCGGTCATGCCTCTCTCCCTCAACCTTTATTAAACTAAAAATTCAAGATGAATTGATCTGGTAATTATTTCGTTTTCTTTTCAGATTCTTGCCCAATTTAGTTCAAATTCAAGCCAAGTTAATGTAACCACAACCATGAGGCAAATCCCAATTATATGGGGATCCAGCCAGCTGCTTGCATTGATGGGAATGCACTTAGACTGCTACACTACCACAGAAACACCTTACAAACATAAAATTTCTTTCCGACACGAAATGGGGTCTGAGGTTCAAAATAGTGAATAGAGCCATTAAATGAGCTGCTACATTTTTGGTACGAAAAGGCATGTTATGTATATAGTCTCAGATGTTTCTGGAAGATAAACATTTTATCATCAACATGTTGCACATTTCTTTGCCTGCTTAGTTAAAAAAATCAATAAATAAAATTTATAAAATTGAAAAATACACTGTTACACACTCAGACTCTGAAACTCTGCCTAACAACTTTTACGTCGCCTTACCTCTGTAAAATGAACAGCATCGATCCAAATAGATCTTTAAGCAACACACGTGTTGCTTTCGACAAGGCTGGGATGAGTAGTGCTGACTGTAGGTTGCCATTTTCATAATAAGATGATTTTTAAACGTTTGAATTTTTGGTTCCCGACTACTATTTTCTAGCTTGAGAAGTTCCCGCTGAATGAAATTTAAGGTGTTTTTCATTCACTGGTAGACTAAGTGAAGAGAATAAACAAATCAAAAACAAGGCAAAATGCCAAACACAGGTTTGCCAACTTGTACATCGCCACTTTCCCTCCCAATTCTGGATGGATGAAGCTGAGTGACACAACACAGTTGATTCTCACAGATTTGACTGATGGATTCCATGTCACTTGAATCCTGATTCCTAACAGAAAAAAAATAATTGAGAAGGTCATTACAATGGCTAGAATAAGGTTAGGTTGTGTTTGTATCAAATGTTATCAATGTCATTCATAGATAAATCAATTCCGACTATTTCTCAGTCTTTGAACAAGAAAAATCATAGCAACAACACACACACACACACATGCACAGTAAATAAATTGTCCATTTAACTCAGTTTCAGATATTTGGGTTTATTCTGCTCAATCCAGTTTCAAAATTAACAATGAAATGTGCAAAAATGTTTGACATTTAATTTAATCAAATGATTACAAAATAAAAATAAAATAGAACATCAGATCCACAAAAAGTGCTTAGGTTGACATATCAAAAACAGTACGAACCGTTTTTCTGAACAATACAAGTACTGAACTTGCTTCAGATAATAAAAAAGTAAATAAAACAGACCTTTAAACCACAGTGCTGTAAGTTAGTGTGTCGCTTTGTGCGATCGGTTTCGTTTAATAATACAATTCCTGGTAAGACGTCGCTTTGTGCGATCGGGTTCGTTTAATAATACAAGTCCTGGTAAGTTCTTTATTTGGACTGCCGCCTTGGTCGGAGGGAGAAAGCAATCACCATGTGTACATCTCGTAGACTCTCCTACGACTGGCTAATGGCTGCGCATGCTCTGTGTGTGCTCTGTGCGCAGGCATAGCTAATAGTGATGGGATTTTCGGCTCTTTTCGGTGATCCGGTTATTTAGATCGGCTCAGTGAAAAGGGCCGACTCTTTTTGGCTCTCAAACGGCTCTTTTAACTTTAGCTTTTCTTTTAAATATTCATGACAAATGACTTGGTGAACTAAATATTGCAGTCTATTGACTGCAAATAGCAACAATTATTAAGCAAAGAAATGGCTTTTTACTTATTTTATGGAACATTAAAAAGGCTCCAAACAAAAAACAAGCAACAAAATTAAACTTCAACCAATAACAATCAAACTTGCTTCATCATAACAAAAATAGTATTAACTGCAACAGCAGCAGTGAACAAAACAAACATAAGCTACTCCTTGATTTATTTTAACAAACATAAGCTACTCCTTGCTTTATTTTAAATTTGCATTCAACAAAACTAAATAC